TTAATAAATTCTATTTCACCATAATATTGTGGTTTCTGTTTTGCTGCCCAAGGCCTGATTGTTCCAATCTGGCGAGTGCTGCCTGCATTTCAAGCTTGATTGATTTTTCCTGTGAATTAGTTCAGAAAACATACATCATTCCCTTCTTCTTACCCTCTTAAGAACAATGTTTTAAAAGAAGCCTTTTCTATTGCCTGTATCAGAATGAGGGATTTGCAGCAACAACCTCCAGACCGAAGTCCACAAAGCAGTTAAAGCTGCTGCAGGACAGGGACAAGGAATGCTTTATCAGTCCAGGATGCTGGGAACACCTGACACCACATTTACAGGTCAACACTTTTCACTCACATCCATAACATACACATATTCGTACAGCACAAACGACACTTCGCAAATTCAGTTGCCTTCATCTTCAGTCAGTTATTATTTTGATTTTTGGAAAATTTAGAAGGGAAACAACCCCAGAGACAAACGCGGGACACAAAGTCTGGAAATAGACTCGTAAGATGGTTTGTTCTATTACAGGTAATGCTGTCAATCCAATTTCCTACAATGAGGGACAATGGGCTGAGAGGAGCCATCCTGCACAGCTGCCTTCTGTTGTATTGCTTTATGCTCCAGGAGGAAAAAAAACAAAACAAAAAACCACACGTCAATGGTAAGGGTATACTTAGGTATTTTTACCCTTTTTCTGTGGCAACATCTGAAGCCAGAGCTCAATATCGAGTGCTCTGCACCACCTGTTGCTGGCCGCGGCTTTGATGCGCCAACTTCGACGAGCCACAGTCAGGACAGCAGCTTCTCCCACGCGTTTTGCAGCGCATCGCTCCGCTCCGGGAAAGCGCCCTGAGCCGAGCCGAGCCGACGGGCCGCCCCGACACGGCTGGGACACACGGCTGGGACGCGCGGGCGGGCAGCGCAGCCAACGCCCGTCCGCCAGCCCACAATGCGGCGCCGCTCCGCCGGGCCCGGCGCTCGGAACGGCGCCGCAAGGCCGCGGGTACCGGCGGGGACGGCTGCGCGGAGCCCTCCATAGCGCCACACGGCCCCGACCGCGGCGGCCTCGCCCCGGCTCGCCCCGCGGCTCCAGCCCCGCAGCCGGCAGTAGCGGCAATAGCGGGGCGCAGGAGGGGCGTCGAGTGCCGCCGCCCCGCCGAGGAAGCGCGGAGCCGCCGCCCGCGGCCCCCCCGGCCCACGCACCTCCTCGGCCTGTTTGCGCAGCGCCTTCTCCCGCTCGTACTGCGTGAGGAGCTGCTCGTTGTCGTCCCGCAGCAGCTCCAGCTCCACGCTGGTCTCCTGGCTGTGGGCGCACACCGAGTCCAGGTTCTCCAGCACGGCCACCACCAGCGGCATCAGCTCAGCCACCACCTCCTCGTCGTAGCGCCCGATGAGCCGCTCGAATTCGCGGTAGATGGAGCCCGCCAGCCCCGACACCCGCTCCGACATCATGGCGGGGCCGGGGCCGCCAGGGTCCTCCTGGTACACCACGCCGTCCGCCAGCTCCATGGCGAGCGCCCGGCCTCAGGCGGCGGCGGCGCGCGGCGGGGCCTCGGCTGCGGCCGGGCGGAGGGAGGGACGGAGACGGGCGGGGGGCGGAGAACGGCGGCGGCGGCGCGCGGCACTGACCTCACCGCCGCGCCGGGCCGGGCGGGGCCGCTCGTCACGTGGCGGGGGCGGGGCCCGGCGGTGAGGTCACGCGGGCGGGGCTGGGCGGGAAGCGGGGAGCGGCTGAGGGTGATCGCGTGGGCGGGGCTGGGAGAGAAGGCGGCCGGGGGCGGGGCTGGGCGCAGTGCGGGTTGGCGCTGGTTGTGAGGGGGCTGCGTTGCGGCCATGAGTGTTCGGGCGTCGCGTAGCGCAGCGCGGGGCGTAAACGCATCGAGTGATTCACCTAGGGATGACTGACGTGGCTAAAACTAGTTTTCAGGGCTTAGCGGCACTGAAACGACGCTGAGTTCGCTGTTTTCGAATCCCTGATAGGAAAAAAAAAAAAAAATAAGGCCTTGTATTCTGATAAATTAATATCGGAAATCCAAACTGTTAGCAGGAACCTTCAATGGAAAGCAAGGTCGCGCTTGCTGATAGAGATGGATTTCGTGGGATTTGGGGTGGTGAGTTCCGTGCTTTCTCAAGGGAATGCTGCCAGCTATTTCTGGCATTCGTTGTAAACTGGAAAGCATCTACAGCGACGTGACAGCGTTAGAGATCTCCGTGTTCACAATACAATCCACCGCTGCGGAAACGGCTGCTTTCCCTCCGGAAAATATCTTGCGTGTCACGGAGGGCGCCGGACGTGCGGCGGTGAGGAGCGCCGCGCCGCGCTGTGGTGGCCGCAGTGATTCCCGCTGCCATTCAGCAGCTGCCGGCCGGCACAGCGCAGCTCCGCACCGCACGGAGCGCACAGGGCGCTGCATGCAGGGGATGGGCGCGGATTTCTGTCCCTGTGTTGGATTCGCGTGTGATTCGCGATGGACTCGCAATGTCTGTGCTCAGACATCACTGATACTTCACATGGAAGTGAAACTGGTATTGAACGTGCCGCAGCCGGGGCAGCTGAGAAAAGACGCGATGTATGCTGCCCTGCTCACATCTGTTCACGGGGAAATTTTCATTTACATTTTTGGAAATTGCCTCTTTGATGTCGTTTCACATTTCTCTTTAGCAGTCGTGCACTGAGAGAACGGCAGCTCCTCCCTGCTGGCTGGCAGGCCAGCTGCTATGGACAGCAGCCCTCTGATACTGCCTGCCCAGGGGAGCTGGCTGAGAAAACCTCTCTCCTTCCACATCACACATGGTTTCACGTTTACCCCAGTTGTTGGTATTGAGGAAGACGCTGAGAATTTGGAATGGGTATTATTGCCTTATGTTTGCTGTTTTTTCCTTCCTTAAAGTGATCCTGAATAAGCCTTGCAGGAGGAACGCAGGCAGTTGAGAGGTAGCCCCTTCGGCTCTACCTGTTGGAAGATCAATCCAATAGTGGGGATCTTCCAACCTAGACCTCACTGCACTGTTCAGCATTGCTTCTGCATGATGTGGACAGCTATGAACACCCACAGATGACTGTGAGGGTAACAGTACCAATGGAATTGCTGCAAAGACTCTTCTGTCTGTATAGTTTTAGCAGCATTGCCATCATACTCTGCTAATTACACAAATACATTTTCTCCTTTTGGCAGAGAGCAAAAGTGGGTCAAGGTGTCTGCTGACAGCCTTTAAGGGAAGGGGTCTCTAAGGATATACTATTTTTATCCTCTTTCTATTAGCAAAGTTGATAGATGTGGTTTTATTTTCAAGTAGCTGGAGTGAGTCCATCCCAGAGCAGGCAGGCTGCTACCACTGCAGTCAGACGAGGAGCACAGGGAGAAGGGGCTGTTTGTGCTCCTGTTTTATTTCTGGTCACCTGGAAGTTTTCTACTGCAGATAAACGAAGTATTTAAAAATACAAACTTTTAAAAATACGAAGCAAAACTACCTGGGGCAAAATGCAGGTGGCATAAGGATCTTGTTGGCAGTCGTACTATTTCTGATCATGTTTTATCATGCACACAATGTGTGAGATCGGAAAATTGGGGATGTATTACAAATAGAGCAAGACTTGGAATTGTATCCTAGTTGCTTGCCAGCAAGTTAAGAAACATGGAAGGCCCCATCAGTTTAGTTAACTAATGGAGCATATGAAACAGCACGGACGTGTTGCTCTTGTTACCTGAAAGCAGTGACAGCATGAGTAGAATGCAGTTCACACTCGTGGAGAAAGAGCTCCTTGAAAAAGAAATTTGGTTTTGGATAATAAAATTATATTCCACATCTCTAGAAATAAGTTTCTTTGAAAGTAAATTGATTTTGATTTACCAGGGAAGACAAATCAGTTTGGGACGAGAAGAACTTAGCTGGGACTTTATCCAGAGGAAGAAATTAATTCTATAGTCCTTTTTTGTCTTAAAGCACCACGGGGTTCAAGCGAGAATCGAGTGAAGGATTATGGCTGAAATAATCAGACAATAGCAGTAAGCTCAGTGGAGGGCAATCAATGGAGGCTGGCAGTGGGGAGCAACAGGGCACAGCACAAAATGTAAGGTGGGGGAGAACTCCCAGATTTGGGGTGGTATGGAAGCAGGATTTCAGCCGAGATCTTCACAGAGCTGTGCACAGAACAAGGCTGGGAGCTGCGTGCAGATCCTCCTGAAGGTTGGAGCCGTTCACAGGCTGTTTCCTCCGGCTTATTTAAAAGCCCTGGTTTTAGGTGAGTGAACAGCTGGGGCTCAGTGATGGTTATTTCACTCATTCATTCAAACTCTGTTGACTGAACACTTGGAAGTCTTTCTCTCACCTCTCTGCTTGGCTGGGCTGCCTGGGGCAGGGCAGTGGTACACGAATAACAGTTCTGTGGTGTTTTATGCACTACATAATGAACAACGTGTGCTGCTCACCACGGACTAGCTCAGAAGTGCCGAAGACGACCCCTATTTAATGAGGGTATGAGGCTTGGCAGGGGCCACACGCAGCGCTGGGCTGAAGCTGCCGCCTGCATTGCCCACCCCATGGCAGCCCTCTGCATCTATCGCCCGGCAGCTGGGCTGTAAGCGGCTGCCTGCTGCTGCCTTTGCCTGTATTTGCCAGTTCGTGGGGATCTTTTCTGTTTCTAAATACTGCTCTGCCTTTGAGAGGACTACAGCGTTAGGAGCTGTAACAGCAGTGTGAAATGTCTAAAAAAAAAAGGTCTATATATCAACAGAACGTAAGCGGAAAAACCGTTCGCTTTCAGGCAGGCCCGCGGAGCACAGCCCGAGCATCCGCGCCGCTCCACGCGCTGCTTTCAGCCGCGGGGGCAGCGGGCTGCCGGCAGACCCGACGCGCCGAGCGCCCCCTGCTGGCGGGAGGCCGCGCCGTCGCCATGGCAACCGTGCGGGCTGGATGGCCCGGGGGCGGCCCGGGGTTAAGCCGGGCTGTTCGGCCGCGGCAGCGCCAGAGCTGTGCGGGGCTGCCAGCAGGTGAGACGGAGCGGCGCGGAGCGGGACGAGGAGCGGGGCCTGCCCGGGCTGGGCGGGGTCTGGCTGTGCTCGCGCGTTTACCTGTGTGCGGGTGTGTGTGCACGTGTGTGTGCTGTGCTTGAGCGAGCTGTGCGCCGAAACTGGAGAGCAGCCATGGACAGATGAAAATGATGTTTATGGATTGATATTTTGCCCTGAATCGCAGCCAGCAGTCCCTCCGTGGTCCTTTGTTTTTTGTTTTATTTACAGCTCTTCTGCTCTTCGCGTTTGCTAATTGCACGGTTCTGTATTTTGCAAACTTACTGTTGCCTAGTTACTTCTGTAGCATTGTGCCCATCGTGCAGATCGACCTTCAGGTGCTGCCGATGTGCACAGCTCGCCAGGTAAGAACTTCAGGTCTAATGATTGCAGCAGAACACCAGACCGGGGCTGGGGCTGCGCTTGCTGCTGACCCCGTGACGGTGGCTGCCCCTGGCCAGGACCATGGCTTCCATCTCAGAGCGCACCTTCATTGCCATCAAGCCTGACGGCGTGCAGCGGGGGCTGGTGGGAGAAATCATCCGGCGCTTTGAGCAGAAGGGTTTCAAGCTGGTGGCCATGAAGCTGACACATGTGAGCTGTCCTTCTCTTGTGTTCTTAATAGGAATATCAACCTGAAAACAGAGCAGCAGTGATAAAGAGGAGTGCTCAGAAGAGTTAAACCTGGAATTCTGATAAGTCTTTGGGTGTTTTGGAGAAGTTCCAGTTGCCAGCTCTGGCTAAATGCTTTAGACATGCTAAGCACGCTAATTTTAGTAACTTGATGTCCTTAGGCTGAGGAGAACATTCTTGTAGGTGCACCCTATTCTCAATTGATATCTCTGGATATATTCAACAAATGCCAGGTCACATAAGCTACCTGCATTGGCAATGGAGACCTTTGGAAGTTCAGATATAGCTAAGGCCAACAATTGAAACCCACATTTACTAACAGTTCTAGGAACTTAGTAGAAATGCTGATTTCGAAGTGTGTGTTTGCAGCTAACCTACGTGATTGCAGCACACTCTTACAGAAAGCTTTCTGTTGTTGTGGGGGTTTTTGATTATTTGTTTTTTAATGCAGGCCTCTGAGGACCTTCTGAGGGAGCACTACATCGACCTCAAGGACCGCCCGTTCTATGACGGCCTGGTGCACTACATGCACTCCGGGCCTGTTGTAGCTATGGTGAGTCCTTACCAATGACGTTTAGCCGAGGAAAACATGGCGCTCAGCTGCCTCACAAAGAGGCCTGTGTTACCTACTGGATACTAGCTTACCTTTAACAGAGATTTTAGAAACTTAGATTTAAATAATGAGGTTAGGAAGCATAATCAGGAAGATGCACTGCAAAGTCAGTTAAAAAAAATATATGTTTTTCCATAGTCTTTCTCACAATTGAAACAATGTGTTGAGGAAGAGGGCAAGGGGAAATTGAGAACCAAAGGTGAGAGAGTAAAGCTGCACGAAAAATCCACTAGGGAATAGCATGTGTTAATCAAGCAGAGAACCGATGGTGACATAGACATTACTTTCAAGTTAAAGTAACTTTGAAAACCTTGTTTAGTCTAATTTTATTAGAAGGAGTTTTTTCCTTTATGATGTAGTTGTGAAATAATTGAACTGGGTGTCAAGATCCTCAGTGAGCAGAAAGCTTTTCTGGAAGAGTGCTTCACAGCCTGAGAGTCAAAGTCATTTACTTCCCATGAGCATTGCAGATGGGTACTGAGAATCTCAGAAAAACTGGAGATAAAATAAGCCTTGCTGTTAGGATGGTGGTTTGTGCAGTGATGGACAGCACTGCGTTGTTCTGGAACACATTATTAACTCTACTTCGTCTACAGATAAGATTTTATCATCTTAATGCATTTTTTTTCCCCAAGGTGTGGGAGGGTCTTAATGTGATTAAGACTGGAAGAGTGATGCTGGGGGAAACTAATCCCATGGATTCCAAGCCCGGCACTATTCGTGGCGACCTCTGTGTGCAAGTTGGAAGGTATATCTGCACAGCACTGATGGCACCTGAAGATAGGGCAGCGCAGCCGTGTCACGGCGTGGCAGAGCTGTGCTGCAGGCTGCCCGCCCTGGGGCACTGTGGCAGCGTCCAGAGATGGAGAGAAGGCTGCAGTGCTCAGAGTGACAAGCGCTGAGCAAAGCTGGCACAGCCTGCCCTGTGCCTGCTGCTGCCTTACCGTTACGTACAGCTTCTGTGTGCAGTGGAGACCACTTAAAGATGGAGTGTTCTTTGCTTTGAGGTTGGAGATTGCATTGCTTTTGTATCAATCTTTTCCTAGGAACATCATCCATGGGAGCGATTCTCTAGAAAGCGCCGAGGCAGAGATCAACCTATGGTTCACTCCTGAAGAACTGGTTGACTACAGGAGCTGCGCTCACGAATGGATCTACGAGTAGAAGTGAGGCGGCCTTTGGTCTCGTGGCTGTGCTCCAGTTAGCTCCAGTCCTCCACACCACCTCCTGCAAACCTGCTTCACAAACCTGCCAAGTGCTCCGCTGTGAACGCTGATCGGTGGTTGCTGTTGCTTTGGTTAGAAAACTACCGAGCTGTAGATAGGAACGTGCTTTAAAAAGCGTCTCGGATGTTCATGCGGGTGGTAGAGGTGAAATTAAATGGTAGAGAAGCAAAACGTTCCTCGTTAATAACACAGAAGGCGGCTTCACGAAACGCTTCGCAGCTGCAGGGAGGCAGAGAGGAGCGCGGGCGGGGCGGGGCGGGGGGCAGCGCGGGGCGCCGCGGGGCTGCTGGGCTGCGCGGGGCGGCGCTGCGGGCGGGGGGGGGGGGGGGGGCACGGGGCGTCCAGGCAAGGGGACGCTCAGAGCCAAAGCAGCTACGGGAAAAGAAACCTCTTTATTTCTCATTCCAAAACGTGCTGTGCCTGCACGCAGAGCTCAGTGAAATGACAACTTGTCTCCAGATTGAAGTGCTTTCTTTATTTATGCACCGGATTTATGTAGCGTTTTAAGGAAGGATTATAGGTCAGGCTTTTTTGAAACCCCCTTTTTATGTGAAAAGAAGATTTAATATGAGAACGGATGAGTGTGATCCACTTTCAGCCAGGAAGCACACGGGGAAAAATGGGATGGAGTCTGCTTTGCTGCCCAAACTGCTAACAGCTGTGATGGCTCTGCCTGTGATGGCTGCACGTCCAGCAGCCTGCTTTGGGATGAGGTGTTTCAGAAGCGACTCCAGAATTGTTTTTTATTTAATCGTGTAAAGAAATCCATCCACAATAATGCTGAGCATCTTTCAGTAGGGACGGCTGCTCCTGCTGGGGAGAGCATCAGCCAGCAAGCATTCACTGACTGCATGGGTGTCGATGCCATTTATCAGCTCATTTATCCACAAATGAGTTTATTGTAGCATTCCTTAAAAGCAGCACTCGTGTGTCAGTAGTTGTTTGCACTCCGCAGCGCTCAATTATTTCAAATACTGAAGCACCATGGTCATGGAGGCGCTGAGTCCCGCAGAGGAGATGCTCCAAAGTAAACGTCTGCCTTTTCTTACGTGAAATAAAGGGTTATTTTCATCACACTGCCTTAGGGCTAATTAATTAATGAGTCTAATGAACGGGAACAGATTAGGTACCAAAGTGCGGGTGAGGCCGTCAGGCTCTCGTGCCGACAGGCGGTGCTGCACGAGGTGCGTGATGAAGCTAAATATCCTGCATCACTTCGCTTCTCACTATGGGGGGAAAAAAAACAACATTTTGTCACCCGGCTGCTATTCGCTGCTATTACCGCGCTGTCCATCCCCGAGCTCCGCTTTTCATCCCTCATTCCACCGCAGAGCGCAGCGCTGACTGCAGCCCCGGCCGCAGAGCCGCAGCGCCCGTCCCGCGCACGGCCGCATTGCAGCCGCCCCTCCGCCCCTCCCTCCCGCAGGGCGGCTTCCGGCGCACGGCCGCCTCCCCCTCCTCCTCCTCCTCCTTCTCTTTCTTCGGCTGCTGCGGAGCTGCGGGAGGTGAGCGCGGCGCTGGGTCGGGTCGGGTCGGCGCGGCGGGAGGGGATCCGAGCGGGGCGGGCGGTTCTGTGCGGGCATCGGCCCGGGGGGGGACGGGATGGGAGCGGGGCGGGGCAGTGCGGGGCCGTGCGGGCCGGGCGCCACGTGGGCCGTGCGGCGCAATGGCGGAGGGGCCGCGGGCCGACCTTGAGCCGGGGGGCTCCGATTGAGGCTGTGCGCTTTTGTTCCGCAGCGCCATGGCTGCCAACTGCGAGCGCACCTTCATCGCCATCAAGCCCGACGGCGTGCAGCGGGGGCTGGTGGGAGAAATCATCAAGCGCTTCGAGCAGAAGGGCTTCCGCCTGGTGGCCATGAAGTTCGTGCACGTAAGTCGAGGCCGGAACTGCCGGCCGTGCCCGGCGCTTTCTTTCCGTCGCCCCCGCGGGCCCTGGGACACGAGTCCGTCCCGGCGGCCTTTCGCGCTCCCGACGTCGAGTAGCGCAGCGGCGACCCGAGCGAACCGGGCGGCCATCGGCGCTCCACCTGCCCGAAGCGGCGAGCGGCACCGCGGGGTCAGCGGGGGGGGGGAGAGGAGCCAAGCCGGAACCGCTGTGCCCCACCGCCACCCCGCGAGGAGAACGGCTGCTGCAGTGCCGGTGGCGTTACGGGGCGCTGAAGACAGCCGCGGGTGCTGAATCTTACAGCGGTGACCCCTTGGTGGGATGGGGTGGGGGCTGCCCTGCTGACATACTCCCTTCGTCCTCCCGCAGGCCTCTGAGGACCTTCTCAAGCAGCATTACATCGACCTGAAGGATCGGCCCTTCTACCCCGGCCTGGTGAAGTACATGAACTCCGGCCCCGTTGTGGCCATGGTAGGCAGCGTGTGTGTACTGAGGGAAAGCTTCCTCAGATCTGTGAAAGATGCACGCTTAAAGTTCCTGCTGAAATGCTTCCCCTGTGTTAAGATTCCCCAAAACTTATTTTCTGCACAAAAAAAAACCCTTAAAGTTTGGGGGTAAAAAAAGGAAAGAAGGCGAGGGTCACTGTCCCATAGAAACCCACCTGAAGGGGTTTCTGTTTTGTGGTGAAGCCCTCACCTTGGACCAGCTGTCACTGCGCAAGGTGTGCAATTCTGCATAAGCATGGACTGATGTTGGTTTGCTGTCTTTTCTCCCTTGTAGGTGTGGGAGGGGCTCAATGTGGTTAAAACAGGCAGAGTGATGCTGGGGGAAACCAACCCTGCGGACTCGAAGCCCGGCACCATCCGTGGGGATTTCTGCATCCAAGTGGGAAGGTTGGTGCTCAGCTGCTTCTCTATAGAGATCACACTTAGCAGGGGTAGGGAAATCAAACTGCTGGTGGCTAACCTGGTCTGATGGGGTTTTATTTGCAGGCTGCAGCCTATAACAACCACTTAGGACAATGGCTGGGTACAAAACTTCTTAAAATTCAGCTGCGTGGCAGAGCTCCATGTAAGATCAAGCAGTGGCTGCTGCAGTAGCATAGCCCCATGCCCCCACCCTGCTGGGTGTAGTGAGCAGAGCTTATAGTGGAGCTGTGCAAGTGCTGTACCCGGGATAAGGGTTGTAGCTTTAGGTGCTTCATCCCCACTTCTTCCGTATGGCGTTTCCACTTGTAGAGTTTTTTTCTTTATATTAAACAACGTTGCATTGGTCCACAGAAACATCATCCATGGCAGCGACTCTGTAGAAAGTGCCCAGAAGGAGATCAACCTTTGGTTCAAACCAGCGGAGCTCATCGACTACAGATCGTGTGCACATGACTGGATCTATGAGTGATGCCAGTTTCCACAATGAATTGTGCCTTCTGACTCTCATCTCACTCCAGCTAACGATCTGGGAGCAATTAGCACAGCGGTTATCTTGACGACTTTTCAGAACCATCAAAAATAAATGGATGATATAAATGAACTGCTTATGGTGTGTTCATTCTAGAACAGACCTGTTGTGCTGAACTCAGTGCGGTGTGAGGAGCGCTCGGTTTTCCTTGCAGAAGGAAGAGCTGTGTTTCAATACAAGCTTCTCCACCTGGGTGAACGGGGAGGGAAGGGACGCTGCATCTCCTGGCACAGAACTGCACTGGAAGGAAAACCCAACGCTCCCCCATGGCAATTCCCAGCGCACTGTGCAGCCATTAACAGCAGCTGTGAAACCTAAGGCCAGGAGTAAAACCTGCGCTGCATAAAGCCTCCACCTGACACTGCATGGCTCACACAAACGCCTTCCCTTCCCCCTGCTTGCAGGCTGCTCAGCTGAGCCCTCACAGCACCTCCGGGCTGTAAGAAGCTCCTGGGTCTGCACTGTGAGGGAAGGAGCTGCAGTACAGCTCTGTGCCAACGAGCAGCTCTTCAAGGAAACGACGTTCAAGAACTGACTTGTAACGTTTTTATTTTGTGTAAAAAAGGCAAATTTAGTGAATTATTTTCATCTTGTACACAAAGTTATAATTTTAATGCTTTTCACATCCATGCTGAAAATCTGCGGTCTCATAAAAATGAAAGTAACATTTAATTTCTCCAAAAGCATTTTTTCCACTTATGTACATTGCATGAGAAAGTCTTAAATACTCTCTCATTGACCACACAAGTTACCAAGAAAATAAAAGATAAATTTGTACAGATATTGATTTATATATCAAATACATACAGAAATGATGTAAAAACCCCATTTGTTTCACCTCCATTCCCGCCCCAACGTTTCCCCAGGGCCGGAGCTGACGCCCATGTGTATAAATGGCTGTGGCTTTAAATATGAAAATTAAAAGGAAGAAAAATTCAGTTTAAATCACAGTTTTTAAAAATCCCTTCCCAATAAAGGATTGTTACCAAATATATTAGCACCATTGTACAAATATTGACAGGAGAGGGTATTCACATCACATAAAACAACAAGAATAACAAACAAACACTGAAACCCGTGTTAGTATCCGTAGAACAAAGAGTCGATAACCGCCTTCGCTTCCTCAGGTGCAGCAAGGAAAGGGTTTGAGCCGTGTTCAAATGACAGAACTCAAAGACCACCAGGAGGGTTCCAGCAACAGAGGGGAGCTGCACGGCACGGCGTCCTGCTTTGCCAAATGCTGCCAGCCTGACCCCAGCGAAAGCTCCGCATCGGACACTGCTCTGCCTTCCGCCCAGCAGGCTGCTCAGAGCAAAGCCAAGGACAGCAGAAGCATTCTGCTGCTGATGCTTCCATGCACAGCAAAGCCTACGCCATGGGTTCCAGCAGGGACCTGCATCCCACAGCAGAAGAGACATCCTCTGAACACCTCGTGGATTTGCTCAGGTGTCCAGAAACCTCCCGAGGCAACGACCCGAATCCCTGACGGCTTTGCTTAGGACAGATTCCAGCACAGCTGACAATTAGCAACGCCGGTATCTTCTGAGTACGGACACAAACGTCACTCCTGCCTCAACACAACTCCGACAGAGTCCTGCACACACCAGAACGCAGGGCAGCTCACACGTAGTGTTTGATCAGAGGAAACTTGTTTTTAAAGAACACTTTAAAGACCGACAGACTTCCAACCCCATTCCTACGTTTCTCCAGCACAGGAGATGCGTTCAAAGTGCCATCTTTGCCTCTCAGCAGTCTAAGCTCACAGGTCGGCCATGCCTGGGAAGCCAGGCTCTGACCTGGGCAATGCATGGGAGCCCAAGGTTTCCTGGCTTGGCAACATCCCTTGCCATCATAGCCCAAATTTCACATCAAGAAACAAATTAATGCATGTTTTTCTACTGTGCTGAAAAGCAGCTGATGAGAGAAGAAAGCAAGGATGTGCCCAACTCATTCCAGCTGCCAGTGGCAATTTGGAAGTTGTCACATCAAAAAACATGAATAAAATCAACAGCGATGTACTTACCAAATCAAATCAATGTTTGCAGAACTGGATTTTATGGCAGCATAAATGAAGAGCATAGGAAAAATAATAAAATTAAGGTTCAAAACATCATTAACAATGGTCTCTAAACCTACTCCTCCAACTCAGGGTGATGAGAAGAAATGCCCCATGAGGGTCAGAGGACGGATGTGAAGCCTACCAAACAAGAGAAAGTCCCTTTGCTATGGCTACTGCAGGGAGCCAAAGAGTCACCACCTGAAGTTACAGATACCTATAATCCAGTAACCAGGTGCTGTCCATGTACGAAGCTGTTGTTAAAAAGGGGTCATTATGGACATTTTTACTGGTAAGGGTAAATTCCAGACATTCCTATGCTATACAGGACAGCTTGTTTCTTTTAAATTCCAGTAGTAAATACAAAACTTTACATAATTAACCCCTCTTGCATAGAATGAGGTAAACCTGTGCATATTACCAATACTTTGTACCCAAAGTTAGAGCAATGTTTTAGAAAAGAATCAACTTGCTGGTTTTCAACTTTCTATGCACTTTTTTCTGTTTTTAGGTTTGGACAACAGTATACAGAAACGGTCTCCTGGGGCTCTGTGGGTTGATGTCCTTAAAGCATTTCTTAGGCTGCAGGAACACAGAAGTTAACTGTTTCGACCACCAATTTTCTAAGCCCTACCTTGTGGTTAAGAGTCAAATAATCACTGTACTGCTCTGAAGGGGACCTACTAAGATCCAGAAGCACTTATAGAACATACGCAGTTAATTCCTGAGAGTTTAGTTAATGAACCTTACTGGTAAAAGCTAAAGCTCTTGATGCACATTTTTCCAGTCACAGCTCTGCAGGGTGATCGATAATTTCACTCATCAACTCCATCAATGAAGCCATCTACAAAAACATACAAAGTCTAAAACCAAGGAAGGAAAATCCAAATAATTAAGGGCTCACATGAAAATACTTTGTATTACGCTACTAGTCAGTCATTTGCACCCTTCTGCTTAACTTTTGCCTTTAAAACATCTGGACAGAAAGCAGGTGGGATTAATGGGATATCTGAAGCAAGGCGCAAGGATCGAGGCAACAAACATCCAGCTGGTGAGTGACGTGCTACGCTGTGTGCCATCCCTGTAACGTTCTCAAGTCTCGATTTCCACCTCACAACACTGCAGCAAGAAAGGAACACTGCAGGCTGTGCAGAGCTGAACTTCTGGCTCCTTTTAGGTCAACCGAAACCACAGGGAACATCAGTTCTGAATGTTCAGAAATAAGCTTTTCAGATGGTAAGGAAACGAGGTCTTTCTGAATGGAAAGATACAATCAGAAGAATACAGAGAAGTTCCTTCCACCACCAAGGGAGGCCTCGGTTGCTGTCTAGGTTAAATCCATCCTTATCTCTCATCTTCCAAAGCAGGGAATCCTCTGAAGTTCCAGTTTGGCAGAGATAGGGCTCTGTAAACATTTGCTGGAGCGTTCCAAGACAACAGATATCCACGTGGAGACAAGAGAGCTGCAGTCCCAATCCAGTGCCCACTGCGGCCAACGAACACAAGGTACTGATATCACTGGGCACTGATTCAGACCCTAAGGAACTATATATTTTAATTTAAAAAGCATCATATAAAAAAACGCATTTTAAACTAAATAAAAACACATTGAAAAGTTAAAAAAATCTCCCCAGGTGATGGCTCCATTGCAGCTGGGGCTACTCACCAAGTAGAGCTCTACAGGGCGATCCTCCTCATACCATCTGTGCCTCCAGATCAGGGCTCAAATGCCTTATTTCACAATTAAAAACAAACAGAGGTGTGACCAGTGCAGTTCACAAGAGTTTAAGTATCTCCCAATTTGTACCAAAAAGGTTCATTTGTCGTGACAGTTCATTTGTATTTGCAACTGCATCTTCCTCCAACGCTTCTCACGATCGTGCTATTTAAACTCTAATCTTACAAAAAAATTAGATTTTCAGTTCTTGTTAACAATGCACAATAGATCTGAACTTGAAAATATTACAAAACTCTTGCAAAAGCTTCAAATGCAACACAAAAAATGTCCGCTCTCGTTTTTAATAAATTGAAAAAATCTTTTTTCACTAAAATAGTTTCCCCGTCCTTCCAAAAAATTCTGAACCGAGTCTGGCTCATCTACAGATAGCAAAGTGCCCCGGTGCAGCCATCCACGCTGCACCATCAAAGCGGGAACAAAACCAGTCAGACTTGGAGAAAGGCTCCTTTCCTATCACCAATCCTGCGCCCCTCGCTTCCTTATGCTGCATTATGGTTCTTGCTTTATGTAGAAGCTGGCAGATCCGTTGCTCTCCTGGTCAGACGCTCCTTGCAGGAAGCTGTACTCCTCTCCATCCAGCATCTCCTCCTTCAGCTGCAACGAAGTCACTGGAAGCAGATGAACAGGTAAAGTCTGTAACATCCCAGTAAGCACAACTCTTCATTTTACTTCACATGATTTAAATTGGGAACAGACATCAGATTTCCCATTTTAGAGATTCATCTTTTAATGCATGGGATCCCACAGAAGGCAGATGCTTCCTGATCCTCAACTGAACCTTAAGTCCTGCTCCAGGGTTTTTCCCTCAGTAATTCAGTATTTTAAAACCCTGGTTTAAGAAAGCTACAGAAAATACTGCTAAGAAGAATGCTTACTTTACTGTTATTTCATTTTACTGCCCACTTCCAAATTTAGTCTTCATCCAAGTAAGATGAATTACTTGCCATTTACAATCGATCACATTGTCTAATTACTGTAAGCAGTCCATATGAGACAAGAAAAAAACACTGACAAAAATTTTCCATCACAGCCTCAAACTGCTAAAAGTCCCTGAGAAAAATGTCATTCAAGCAAAACATTTTTTGTAGTTTTAATCTTCTTTCTTTTGTATAAGGAAAATAGAAATGTGATCAAAGGCAGAAAGACTGATGTTAGGAGAGCAATAATGCCACAACTGCTCCTCCATTTAATTAATGGACAAGGAAATTACCAAAGTATGAGCAGAGGGGAAAAAAAAACACTGAAATAAATGAAGCAGACCAGCACTTCCTTTAAAGG